AAATCACAAGGAACAAGCCGAGTGCCTAAAATACATAATTATATAGAAATATGAACAAACAACAAAACACCAGAATACTGTAATTGGTTGGAAATTCAAGCAGTTCTCTTCTATAAACTACATGAAACCAAAAATTTGTTTTAATTCATCAGATGCTTTTGCATTTCAAGAAACAACACATTCCTTGGTGTAAAAGTTGGTAAAAAGCGTGTTGGCCGTTAGTTCCCGGTTCACCCCAAACGATTGGTCCAGTGGGAAAATCGACACGGTTTCCATCCCTGAAAACTGAACAAACTATAAGACATTTTAAATCATCATAAATCCTAATGTTATTTAAACCTTCCAATAGTAACAGTCGGAAGATGACATGGAATGAAACTAACCGCATCACAAACTTCCCATTACTCTCCATATCACCTTGTTGAAAGTAGGCTGCGAATCGATGCAAATATTGATCATATGGAAGCAAAGCAAGTGTTTCAGCTTTAAAGCAGTTGATGTAAAGAACGCCAAGCAAAGCCATAATTATTGGTATCTGTAAGAGGACGTTTGTTTCAAATATATTTCTTCAAAGAAAATAGCTTTTGAGCAATTTCTGATTTCTGATTATCAGAGAAGTGACCATCTTGAGTAAAAGTCCCTCAAATACAACACCTCGTTAAATACAAACTGACGTCATTGAAAATTCCTTAAGTAGTTTCAAGGCGGTAAAAAAAACAAACATTTCTTTCAACCGGTTCATTAAGAAAATGCTCGTCAGCAGCGCTTGCGCCTTTCAACAATTTATTGAAGTTATCGAAACCAATATGCACGGCAATAGAAAGACCAATCGCAGACCACAATGAATAACGGCCTCCGACCCAATCCCAGAATCCGAACATATTATTTTCATCAATACCAAACTCACGAACTTTTGGACCGTTTGTTGACAGTGCCACGAAGTGTTTAGCGACTGCTGCAGGATTCTGTAAATACGAGCAGAAAGATTTTTTAGGCACACGATAGTTTCAATTGCTCTCTCGAAAACACTGCTATCATTTGCAAAATTTTATTTTTTTTTTTATTATGATAGTTGAACCGATCGCTTAAATTAAGTAGATATGAGTAAAAAAGAATTCTAAATATAAATTTTTTTAACAAAATCAAATACCTCTGCTTTGTTTAAGAACCACTCTTTCGCTGATGTAGCATTGGTGATTGTTTCTTGTGTTGTAAATGTTTTCGATGCAATGATAAAAATTGTTGTTTCCGGCTTAATTTTCTTTAGCACCTGAAAAAAACGAGAATACAAAGTAATAACAAAGAAAAATTTTTTCTGCGAGATGTTTTCAATGTAAGCGTACCTCTGCTAGATGCGTACCATCGATATTGGAAACGAAGTGAACGTTTGGTCCAATCTGATAATGCTTAAGTGCTTCCGTTACCATTAATGGTCCCTGAAAATACTCTCTTCAGAAAACATTCCCGCATAATATTTCAACAGAATTAAAGAAAATTCTTCAAAATTTTATAGAGTCAAAAACAAACCAAATCAGAACCTCCGATGCCAATATTGACAACATCGGTAATTTTTTCACCTGTATAACCTTTCCAAGTTCCACTGATCACTTGATCACAAAACACTTTCATATGCTCCAATACGCTATTCACATCGCTTGTCACCTGCAAGATTCATTCAGTGGAACACACGTGAATATTTTCCACTCACTTAGTCAATTCTATCTACATGATTTAAGATAATTATTATAGGAAAGACAAAGGTTAAGTAACATAAAGGCAGAACGAATATATGACCCGAAATTTTCAATCACATACAAGTAAGAGACAAAGTGATCCCACATCATCAATGCTTTAATTGGCAAGTGAAATACATTGGATGGCTAACAAAAGAAAAAATGTTAAAAAGCATTATTAATGACTTCGGGAAGATCCACTCATCTCTCAATGAGTGGATTTTGAATGACCTGACAGCTCTACAATCTGCAGTAGTCTAGCTGAAAATATTAACATAAGTATTCCAACTGAAAGTACTAATATTGTAATGAGCGGCATTTAATATTTTGTGACATTTGACGGAAAGAATACAAAAATTTCAAAAAACAATACTTGGTAAGTAAAAAAATGGCTTTACATTTTGTCCATTTAATGTCAGAGGTTTATTGTTAATGTTCCTCAATGCGGTGTGCAAAACAGCACGTCCTTCAGTGAAGTTGATTTTTTTTCCACTGAACATATCCTGCCGCATATTCAAAACGTTCCTTGAATTCGCCTAAAATAACCTTTTCCGCCCTATTTTTTCTTTAAATTTCAAAATTATTTTCGTTACAAATATCCATAATTACTTATTGTTGATAACTTCAAACAATATTAATATAGATCCTAACACATCAATATACTCTTTAAAAAATTATTGCAATGGTAGATTAATCGCCAACAACAATACTGACTAAATTGAACAGTTTCTTCATCGTTTCTTCATTGATAATATTTTTTGAATAATCGAAAAGAATCGGTCCATCTGGTGTATCCATTGTCAAACTGCAAAATCATTCCGACAAATGTTATGCATTTATTTTCTACTTCCATTTAATGCATCAAATTAACTAACCTGAATTTCTGAAACCGTTCTGGATCTTGCACAAACAAATCAACCATTTTTAGATATTTACATTCCGATTCAAAATGTTGTTGAAGCTGTATGAATGCAGGATCCTTGAGGAGTGACATTTGATTTGTATTATGATGATCGGCTGTAAACCACTTTGTATAATTTCTTAAAATTTATTAAACAACAAAACGATAAATAGAGATCGAAAAATGATCAGTGTTTATTTTAAATATAATAGGATGCTGCAGAAACAGAATACGGATCACTTACTGTTAGTTATAAGTGTACTTCAAAAATGATTATCAGGAAGCATTTCGCATCATAAAAGCTAATATTAGAAGCTCACATGAAATTCCCTTATTTTAATAATTCCTCTTCCATAACTGTTATCAATTACTAATACCTCTTGACCTATCGTTTCTCTATAACGATGTCTATTTCACGTTCGACATAAATAAAATTAATTTTTTAAATATTACATTGACTATTCTCACTTATCAGAAAGCATTTCGCATCATAAAAGCTAGTGTTAAAAAAAAATTTAGTTTTTTTTTTCTCATCAGCACCACTCAAACTGAATGCCAACAAGTTAACACTCAAGCATTATTTTTCTTCTCTCCATATTCATCAATTTCTCAATCTCTCTTCTCTTAACCATAAAAAAAAAGCTCTGACAGGTGGTCCTATGAGATATGTAGCACAAAATAAAGTTCATCTTTTTAAAACTAAATTCAAATGATTCCAACAGTTTTGAGTGACAGAAGCTAAAAAACAATCATGTCCACTAATCTTACCAGGCCTAATAAGCAAGCCTCATCCTTTGAAATGCAAGCAAAATAGCTGCTGATATGTGGACGCTAAAATCGATCGTTGTGTTGCGTTGTGTAACAGAGCAGAAGAACAAACACTCGCTGGCAAAGAAAATTTCACAGCAACTCACCCACCTATCCATCATACTATCACTTATTGTTCTATCATTTCATATACTGTTTCATATACTGTGCTGTATTTAATTCATTGAATCCTTCAAATTGAACGGTGCATGCTAATTTAATTTCAAATTCGCAAAAAAAAACCTTCCATCCAACAAGCTACTTCACTTCATAATCGTAAATCATTGCAAGTTTAAATTAATATTAAAGAAAAATTAGTTCTCTTTTGTAAATGTTACAAGTATGTAATAAAAAATGGGAGTATTTATTATTTCAATGGTATCTTGCAAAAGATACTTCTATTAGCAAAAAAAAAAAAATGAATTCTGATGTACTACTTGTTCCCTTGAATAATTGTGATGCCAATGATAACAGCATGATCATCGCTGCAATATTCGAGGTTGAAATTATAGTTACAGTTTGTAGTTCTGTTCGTCGTGTTAACACTTACAGCAGACCGATATAGCAAGCCGACTTCAATTGTAATCCAACCGCCGTTTAATTTTCACTTTTACAAGAAATGAGCAAAATTTGTATAAAATTAATTTCGTCAGTTGCAATTCATTGCCTTATTGAATTGCATGCTTAAACAAATATCTAGTCAAATTGAAAAGAAATGCGCAAATACTAATTCCAGTGCTGCAAATCAGTTTGTTATATTAAAACGCAAGTTTAGTACTGGAGTAAATACTCCTGAAAGAAGTTTTATATTTGAATGCTTTGCAACAATAATTTTGTCCAGAACGAATGTATCACTTTAATACTAAACTGAATTCAATTCATTCGGCAAAATTCAGAAAGACTGAAAGTCAAAACATTTGGAAGTGCATATAATGTACTTACAAACTCACTTGGCGTTTCTTTTTACACAAATTTGATTTATCATTGCATTTTGAAAATACTATTTCATTGCACTAGACAACAACATTTTAAAAAACAATAAAAACAAAGGGCAATGAAGTTCGGATTATGTTTATCACAGATCACTAACAAATGCAAAACATATCTGAGACCTCATATTACCAGTCCGCTTTATGTAAGTTTCCAACTCTGATATTATTTCTTTCGAGAACAGTAATAAAATTAAATTATATGTTTGAAACAATAACCATTTTACTAGACCTTGTCACATACAACTCCTACGATATCCTATAAGATTTAAACAATGCTTCACAACCTATGATCGAACAATTCACTGCTTTCATTCTTCAAGGCAGAAGCTATTACAAAACCTTCCTAGCTATTACAAAAAGCTATAGTCCAACAAAATCAATTTATTGCTATTGTTGTTGGAAAATTCAGAGCTCAGTTTGCCGAGCAAACAGAAAGGAGTCATCAAAATCAGTGCAATATTTACATCGTGCTGTTGTTGAACCGTATGGAAGACATGTATGTCCGATGCATTCGCAACAACCCGTATGAAACCACCGAAGCATCGACGCGCCAAGAATCTATAATGAATCACCGAGTATGTGTACTTGCAGAAAGAAGCTAAGACCAGTTTAAATTTACAAACAGAGCAAAGGATTAGAAAAAACAAAAAGGTAAACTACCAGACACTGTCGACTGCATTGCTTATGCGACATGCACTTGTCAAGATAAACTACTGTGCAATTCGCCCTGCGGTGAGTCCTCTCCAACATTTTCATATTTTGACCTGTATTTCATGACTTTTGGTCTTAATAATTTTGATAGCTGAAGAATTCAACTGTGTCAATAAATACGACAGGAAATAATTCCACAACATATAATTATAACAGTGCAAGAACGTACCTCTGCTATCAAACGAGTATTCGCGTAAGGCTGGAAATGTATATGTTGTTCCAACCTTATTCACTCTAAAGTATATTTATTTTTTAACTAGGATATTTTCCATACTTAAAGTATAGTTATTTAATCATTCAAGATTGTCAGTTAAAGTTGACATACAAGATGAAATAACATGAAATTACTGCAACATAAATTATTTTACACACAAAATATAAATTCCAATCTTCTACATTCATTTTAGAATTGGGTATCTATAAATGAGTGAAATGCAACAATCAGACATATACAAGCAAATGATGTACTCCATTTATAGCATATAAATTTCAAAATGCATATTGAAAAGATAACATACAGTGCAACCTTGTCGAAAACGATAACATCTTCATCATCCTGATCGAATCGATCAACATAACTGTTTAAATGCAGTGCCTCTTTGTTTGGATTGCATAGTCCTGCAATACGAAATGAACAAAGCTGAATTTCAACTAAGTAAATATCAAAACTCTGCCAATGCATCATTTTCCGTAATGAACACGAAATGACGTATTGAACATTTCGATGACCTTATTTTTTACTGACTCTATTATCTATTACTTACCGCAAAAAGAAGACAGGTGAAACGAAATAAAGTGAACAGTAATATTCAGAAAATTTAATATCATTAGTTAGGCCCTCGACAATATGTTTTATCAATACTATGCAACGCGCAATTTGTGCAATACTCTATTTGCAATGCACGGCATTTTTTTTTTAAATTTTGACTTCAAATTCCAATTGGACTTAATCAGCGCAGCAATAGCAGCTTCATTAGAGCATGCTTTTGATGCTTTCCTATTGTAACAAAGTATTTCACAGAGTACGAAATTATATACCATTAATATCAATTATATAGCATTCATTCAGTAATATCAGTTGATAAATGAGAAGAAAGATGACATACCGACACAAGCACAACATTGCATGTATTGCTTATCAAGACATTGAATGCATTCATTGCAGCATGAGCAGTTATTATGCAAAATACTATCACGATTGATGGAACAGTTGCAAGCTTTCAGTAGCATACACTTACTTACTCGTGGGCCACATTCTGTCTCATTACAATCCAATGCTGCTTGCAGAAGGTCCTGCAGAAGTGTACATAGCACCAACAGCAGCAACCATCTGATAATATTTGCTACCATTTCATTCTGAATTACATAAATTACATGAATGCTTATTAGTGAAATATATTCAGCATACGATTCTCAGATTGCTCATAATGGCTCTTATACTTAAACCACAAGAAAGATTTTTCTCGATTTGAATAATTGTAAAAGGCTAAAAATAATGATATTAGCAATAACTAATAACCTGATCGATCAAGAAGAACAGTATTGACCCTGCTGAAAAATTCAGCTCACATTTGTGTTGAAGCATATTTCAGTACATTTCTAAATGATACTATATATTCAGATCTAAATAATTCCTGTCTTTCATCCACATATTTTTTCCCTCTATTAATTAAAATATCAAAAAAAAGAGAATTTAAATGTTTTCAAGAAGAAAACATTTAAATTCTTTTTTTAAAATTGTAATGTCACAAGACATAGAAGTGAGTTATAAATTATAATTGATATTTTGGCAAATCAAAATTCTCTAAACATTTTGTCTATTAAATTTTTTCACTTTTTTCTTGGAAATAGGTTACGAGAAGTAGAATTAGCCTAGAAAAAAGAATGTTTCTGAAAGTTAAATATTAATAAAATATTACCCCACAGGAAGAAAAAAAACTTATCACCAATCAAACTAATGCAGATAATATTAGCGTAGAGTACGACAGATATATTGGTGGAAAAGTGAAATAGTTCGAAACTTATTCTAAAGCTTGAGAGGACAAAAAAAAGGCTTACTGATGACAAAATACTATTCTCTTAATTAAAAGACACTATTCTTATACCTTTACATAGCTGAGCCCTATTATTTCAGATAATATTAAGATATTAGAGTTGCGTATGCACCTAAGTCACCTTACACGTACACATTCACGTTGGTGACATTTCCCATTTGTTTTAACAAAAAATATGCACCAACCACATCAAACTCATAACTTTCCTTATATACTTTCATTCTTGAGCTTCTTCACAAACATTTATTTATTTAATTTAAGCATAAATTTAAAAAGTAATGCCATGACGTTATGCAACCTCTCAGTATTTTTTACTTCTAACTGAAATATGCCGCATAACTTTATTTGTCGCAGAGAATAGAATAAAATAAATATCTGCACTTCAATGTAATAATTGCACACCCTCTCAAAGATTAAAGGTTATTGACCTTGTTCGATATACGGTAGAGTGTCTGACTGGAAATAAAATGACTGCCGAACATCTTTCCTGGGACAAAACTTACTTCAACTTATCCTAATTCCCTCTAAATTGACTCAATTCTCCCTAATTTCTAACTTATGCCAATTTCCTCTAACTTATTACGTACTCGTTACTTTCTCTAACTCTTCCTTACTTACTTAACTCCTCAAAAGAATCAATAGGATGAACATGAAATGATAAAAAAGGTGACAATGGATAGTAAACTGAAAGGCATTGCATCTGTCAATAGCAACGGTTGAGAGTGAGAGTGTCGGAACAGGAGAGTGCAAAGATGCTCGACGTGTTACAAACAATACATTGTCAGAGTATATTGCCAGAGAAAAAGGATAGCGAATCAAACAGAAAATAAACTAATCGTTCTTATTCTGATTGTTCATTCATTTGGGTACGTGTGTGTACACGTACGTTTACTTCACTTGTAAGTGTATGGTGAGTTGAAGTGTAAGAAATGATGATATATGAATAACTCCAATACTTTTAGTCGTTGAGATATTATAATAAATGGAAGCGGTTACTTAGAGCTAATAGAAATTAACCCTGGAAAGAGAAATCGAATTGTCACTCTGATCAACCGTGTCATCATCATCTTAACTTTTTAAGCAGTTTTATCCATTCCGGATATGAGATATTGTTTATCTCGGATAAATTCATTTAGCTGCTTTACATCTGTTCATTCTGTTTTTGTATGAGAATAGGAAAAATTAAATAGCTGTTTGTTGCCAAAATATTGCAGTACTGATATTATGAATTATGGCGTTCTGATTGAACTGTGATTATGATTATGGATTATGATTATGAATTAGGACTGTGAATTTGATTATGAATTTGTTGAGTATAAGAAATGAAAAATTATGACTTAGTTGGGAAAATATTTGAAAACGATGGAAAAATATCAGCGAAATACTATCATAGTTGGATTAATGTTGCTATTAAATGCTTCTGAACTTTCTATAATCTTTCGTTTGAATTAGGTTAAAACTTCGCATGAAAGGAAATTTTAGACTTCAGAAACTTTCGGGATTACATTTTAGGATTGATTGCCATCTCTCATCAGTATTTTTGAATCAAAATTTTATCACTCTGCTGTCATCTTGTCTATTTAAATATCTAATTTTTTTTTTGTGATTGCCTTATCTTAGGACAAATATTTTGTTATCATATTTGCTTTTGTTCTGTTGACAAATATTCTGATTATCTCGAAAATGTATTTTAATATTTAATGGTAGCAAGTATTGAATGTTAGTCTTGATTTTTATAATAAAAAAATAATTTATTTCCTAATATATACGCAGTTCCACCACCATATGTTTGTTCTGTTGGAAGCGAAACAATATTTAGTAAAAGGAGAGAGGAAGGAGATGGGAGTGGGAAGAATTGGGATATCAGGTTGATTTAAAAAATAATATTACGATAGCAATGAGTATCTGTTCCATATTTATCCTTATTCAAAAATTTTCTCAAACATTATTTTTGATATAACTGTCAATTTTCTGATTTCGTAATATGACCATTTTGTATTGGCCTTCGTAACGTTTTGTGAGATGTTCGATTTTGGTGTAATGAGTTCGGATTAAATATGAATGATCTGTTAGGCATACTTAATCTTTATCAGAATTGGAACATTAATTTGTCATGCTACTGAGATAGTCTATCTTACATTGGCTATAGGCACCATCATCAAAGACAAGGATCCGCACTCCTTATGAGGGCAAATAGGATGGAAGGAAGGGTAAAATGAGATTACGATCTGACATGGAGTGAAAGAGGGATGGATATCATCTAACCACTGAACAGCTGTCTTTTCTTTCTCTCATTTCGTATATTCAAATTTGTATTGCATTGTTCCAGCTTCTTCTTCTTCAACAACCAAAAATTTTGGTTAGGAGAAAGTGCTATCCTCATGAAATACATGTATATTGGGACTGTACCTCTGTTGCTGGACGATTATATTAATGTTCTATGGAGAGATAGATGTATAACTGTTTGTTTTAAAAAATTTATAACATCCAATCAAATGATACTGACAGCGGGTTGACTGATCAGGAGATGATGTGATTAAATTGTTACCAAGATCATTCGCACATGTGATAATTCGAGTTTGCATAATAGAAAGAATAGATAAAAGTACGTCACTTTCCTAGAATTCTACGGGGCATGAAGAAAACCATATTAGCACTGCGCATCAGACTAGCAGAAACTCACTGTCATATTTTTTTCATTCGTACAATTTTAGAAACCGTCTCAGTTGTTTGTTCTTTTTCATATATTTGAAATTGATTTGAAATCAGAAATAGAGATTGAAAAGTCGTCATTCTCTGCATTTAAGGAACTTCAAAATTTAGTTCCCTTATTATCGCTATGTCTCTCTCTTGCTTCTTTTTCAACTATTTTTCTACTGCTTATCTGATAACTTTTCTCTTCGGCTTCTCTTTTCACTTCCCTAAAGCATCTATGGATTTGACAGAGGAGAGATTCACCTAAATAGGAAAACTCATTCTTTACCCCGAAAGGGAAATTCTAGATAAAAAGCAAGCTCAATGACAAGCTCAAGTAAACTAGCATACCTATCAGTGCATTTTTAATCCCTTGGTATTACTATGCAAAATCCGTTTCCTTGCCACAACTGAAAAAATCCATTATATCATTGGAAAAAAAATCCGATGACAGCGGTACAAATTTTCATCCATCTAGATATGAACGAATTTTGTCCAGTAATTTTAGACAGGGAAAAAATTCCAGTGAATAACAAAAGGACAGATAAGATATGGACGAATAACAGCCGAAAAAACAAATATGCATAGACATAAGTCTTTCATCGAGCCATTGTCTCTAGCTTTTGGCTCATTATTTTATGAAGAAACTCAGGTATAGTATTGTTGCCACGGCAGCATATTCTTCTTTTAATGAATTAAATTGTAATTTTCTAAAAAGTTAGTAGCCCACTTTGATATGTCTGCTGTTGTTGGGAAAATATGATAGAAAAAAAGAACACAGGAAGTTTAGGTGTTATATCTTTCTTCGAATCTACCCTCAGTATGTGTAAGATTTCAAGCGATTAATAAAATATTTAGGTGACGAAATGGCTGAAGATTATCCAGATCTGATGTTGACATTAAGAGATAGCAATGGTTGATTTTCTATAGGGAAGCTATCATTTGGATGTAAAATTATCTTAAGAACACCAAAAGGTATATTATTAATAATAATCCGTGCTGTAAAGCATTTAAAATGAAATGAAGGGAAAGCGACATGCTAGTTTAGATAAAATGGCTTTTCTGGAAAGAAGCAGTAATGGAACCGTCCAATTACCAGTTATTGTTGCAAGAGCCAATAAGATAAGCCTATCAATTTTCATCTCCACAAAAAAAATAAAATAAAATTCGTTGTTATTACTGTTACAAACTTCATTTAAACGCCACTCACAATCCTTATGACAATCTTTTCAACACTTTTTTCGTTTATATTTCCGTCTCTTTTCCTTCCATTAATTTACATCTCTTGTGATTGTAAAAGCTGAAATATTGTTCAGGAAGGCATGTAACGTGATGTTCACGGTTTCAGTGTAAGGGAGATATGCTAAAAGTTATCCAATTGTAATTGAGTATTGGGATCTATAGTTTGTTCTCAGGAAAATCGTCAATTCAGATAGGTTATTGACCTTTTCAAATGTTAGCAGTCAACCAGAAAATTAGGCTTGTAATCATTTTCTGAAATAAGATCGAAATTGTGCTTCTCTCTTAATATTTCGGACCATTTGAACTTATCATTTTTTCATATTTGTTCAAATTTGAAATTACCTTTATTCTGATTTCATA